ATGAAAACTGAGAATCAGTGAGTGAAGAACGAAGAGAATTTTGGATTCCAGAATGTCACGTCTGGGGGATTTTTTGATGTTTTGTCCTGTCTCCATGGTTGTCTTGTCATTTCCTGTTTTATTTTGAAAAGTACATCCTCTCGTTTCAGGTCTATTGCACTCTCCTGTGTGTCACATGTCTGATTGTCTTCCCTGATCCCTGATTGTTTTCACCTAGAGTTCCCTTCCCTTCCTGTGTTAAATAGTCTGTGTCCTTTTATGAGTGATTTTGAACTTCTTAGTTTTTCGTTCTCTGCCTCAATTCGACCGATCTTTGTTACTTTTCTAGTCTGTCCTCTTTTGAGTGATTATTATTTTGTACTTTTCTCCTTCCAATCTACTGTTCTTTTGTTTCTATTAAAGTTTTTTGCAAAGATCTCTTCATCTGAGTCCTGTCTGAGTCCCATTTCTGACACAGAATCTCCACATTTTAGAACATGAGAACCTTCTTCCCCAGCAAATGGGAACAAGTTGGAAAAACACTTGTTTTGTAAAGCTTTTTTTTAAATGTTGATTGTAGTATACTCTCTTAATACTTCTCCAAAGACTGGACACGAGCCTGTGGTCCAACACAAACCTCCAGAGAAGTCGGTGCTTTAACAGAAGACGTCATTTTTGCTCAGTAAAGCTTAAAGTGACAGTGCTGATAGACTTGTGATGGACTAACTCACAGCAGTCCATCAGGAAATGCAGCTTTTGTGTCTGATAGTCACCTGTGGGCCTCAGCTTATGCTCTGTGTTTGGTTCCTGGGTTTCTGCCAGCTCCCTTTAACAGCAGCCAGAAACACACCAAAGGCCTCTAACCAAAACCCGCTCCCCCAAACCTAAACAGTGGCCGAGGTGTGAGAAATACACGTGAAACCGCCTGGATAGGTTTGTGGGATTTTCCTTTATTTACAAATCTGCAGGCCACATTTTGACTCTGGATGGAAACCAGGCTCCGGCCCAGAGGCCGTTTGCTTTTCACAAGGAAAAGACACCAAAGGTGGACTTTCTGTGAGTGTTTGTGTTGGTTTTCTGCTCAGGAAGACACGGTTTACCACCAGGAGATGGCACCTCAGAGCAGAGGATCTGGAGTCCAGAGCAGGTTTGAGTTCCTGCTGCTCTGGCTCCATCTACAGACCATCTCCATTTCTGAGGCTTTTAAAGAGCTCCTTTCTCTGCTGGACTCGTTCCTACATGCCAGTAACTGTCTTTATCTCAGTCACAGGACTGTAAACGATTACAATTAGATCAAATAGTGAAATTAAAAGATATTTATAAGATGTTATATACATACATTGTGGAGCTCATTAAGGAGAGGAAATAAAAAAGAGTTTCATAAAGAAAAATACAAGATTCTCCCCAAAATAATCAGCATTTAATGAAAAAAATTACACATCGAACAAACCAAATTTAACTACCGATCCCTGCTGAGCTATCAGGTCAAAAGGAAAAAGAAAAAGATGGAAAAAAATATATGTCCCTGATCAGGGGATCAGAATGTGGAATTAAGACGGAAGAAATAAATAAAAATAAAAAGAGGCAGATGTTTTTATTTTTAAATATTATGTTCATATAAAAAAGAAAGGCAGATGTTTTTAATTTTAAATATTAAATATTAAAAAAAAATTAATAAAAAGAGAGGCAAATGTTTTTAATTTTCAATATTAAATATTAAATAAATATTTAATAAACAGAGAGGCAGATGTTTTTCATTTAAAATATTAAATAAATATTGAATAATACGAGGGGCAGATGATTTTAATCTTAAATATTGAATATTAAATAAAAAGAAAGGCAAATGTTTTTCATTTTAAAATTTGAATAAATAAAAAGAGAGAGAGTTGTTTTTCAATTTTAAACATTAAATATTAAATATTAAATATATGAAATATTAGGTCTATCTCTTGTAGCACAGGAAGTTCTTCCTCTCTGAACAGTCCCGGGGCTCCAGGCCCCCGGAGTCCTTCAGCAGGACCCCGCAGTGCTGCCCCGGGGGGGGGCAGGCCGGCAGGCCGCCGTACAGCAGCTCGGCCCCCCCCACCCACAGCCACTCCCCCGCCAGGAACCGCAGCCCGGTCCATACCTGCAGGGGGGGGGGGGGGGGCCAACCCCCAGAGGAGCAAAAAACACACCCCCGGGGGGGGGGGGGGCCCGGGGGGGGGGCCAGAGGACGACCTGGGGTCCAGAGGGGGACCAAAGGGGGCCGGGTCTAAATTCTGTCTACCCCTCAAACTAAATCCCCCAAAACTCCTTATCTAATATTTGCCTTCTTCTGGACTCCAGGTCTGCAGCGTCCTCCACAGAAAGAATAGAAACCCAGAATGAGTCTGTAGGACCCAGAATGGCCCAGAATGAGTCTGTAAGACCCAGAAGGACCCAGAAAGAGTCTGTAGGACCCAGAAGGACCCAGAATGAGCCTGGAGGACCCAGAATGAGTCTGTAGGACCAATAATGAACCAGTAGGACCTAGAATGAAGCCGTAGGACCCAGAATGAACCCGTAGGACCCAGAATGAACCAGTAGGACCCAGAATGAGTCTGTAGGACGCAGTAGGACCCAGAAAGAGTCTGTAGGACCCAGAAGGACCCAGAAAGAGTCTGTAGGACCCAGAAGGACCCAG